GTCAAGTCAAACAGGTCAAACAGGTCAAACAGATCAAATCGGTCAAATTGGTCGAATAGGTCGAATAAATCGGACCAATCAGAATGGTCAAAACAGGTTGATAAGGTCGGTCAGGTCGGATAGGGGTAGCGGACCGGGCTCATAACTATCGAACTCTAGGAGCCTCAGGCACCTCGGATGCCTTAGGCCCTCTAGGGTTTCCTAATTGGGAAGTCCCTATTGACCTGACTAGATAATATGAACCAATGAGAGCTAAGGAAATTGACAATTGAACTAGATGATTAATTGAATCTAGTAAACAACTCTGGTTGACTCTAGCCCGGAACCATGGGTTAGTAGGCCCTATTTATAGTATGGTCCTGAAGGCCTAGAGTCTTCTAGAAGCAGGCAATTAATAATCAGAATCAGAAATGACGTAGAAACACTAGAAGATGACGCAATGGAATCAGAAAGAATAGATCAGAACAATGCAAATTAAAACAATAGAAATCAATAGAATCAATCTGGTGGTTGCCTAGGCAATAATGGCTACCTAAAGTAGGTGTCTGATTCTGCTGACTAAATGTCTGCCTAAGGCAGGCGCCCCTACTGTCTGACACTTTTACTATACTCTAGCACTGCTATAGTATATACTAGTACACTCTTATATTTATAGCTATACTGCTGCTAATTTAGCAGCTCTATATAGAACTCTAGATATACTTACTCCCGCACCGTTATTATCTATAGTTATAACTTTTTCTCTATAGTAATTATTATATTAGTAATCTATACCGCCGTCTATAGTTATTTCTACTTTTATTATTACTACGGTGTAAAGTTATATATAAAACTTTTCTATTTATATAGTAGTTATATGCGCGTAAAGAATATTAGTACTTACTGCTATAGATATACATGCCACTAGATACTTTCTTTATTTATATACGCTAGCAGTAGATAATATAGCAGCTTCTTCTACTACGTATATACTGCCTCTATCTAAATCGCCGATCTATAATACTATACTATTTACTAACTCTTCTACATTAACTAATCGACTATTTCCTACAGTATCTAAATAGCTGTTTTAATAGAATCTGTAAGCGCGTTAGATAGGAGCAGATAAAATTAACAGCGTTAAGGTTGTATAATCTTTTTATCTAATATCTTACTATCGCAATATTGCCTTTAGATAAAATCTTGCTTTTAGACTAAATTCTTAGAGTTAGGCGCGACAATACTCTGTAGTAAATTATTAGAGGAAATCTTACATAGATATACTGCCTACTATATAAACTATAGCTATAAGTTAGTATTAGTAATAGAATTAGTTTAAATTAGCTAGTAGGCCTGCGCCCGCTCCGCTACCTCCTATACTTAAATTACTATATTAACTATCTACTATACTTAATTAGGCGCCGGTAAGAGAGATTATCAGCCGTTAGAATATTAGATCTAGATATAATACGATCTGCGGCTATTAGAAAATACTTACTACTATAAAACTGTCTAATATAATTACTATAATATAGCTTTACTATAAGCCCGTTCTACAAGCAGTAGTTGGCTACAGCAGATCTATTATAATTATTAATAAATCTGGCACTAATACTTCTATAGAGAGTTAAAATTTAATATAATAAAGTAGCACGGCTTAGCGCTATATTAGCAGAGGAAGCTATTTAAATAATATAGTAGAATAGGTAATAGATTATTTAAGACTATTAGAATCTAGATCGCAGAGCTATTCTGTATAATCTAAAGCTACTACTAAATTATCTAGATAATAGTAACAATATTACTATATAGCAGTTAATGCTGCTTTTTAAAATAATTCTCTAGCTTAACCGGTCGGACGCTATACTAGCAGAAATAGCAGATAAGTATTTTTAATTCTAGGAGAGTAGAGAAAAGCTTAGTTTCTATTCTAAATAGTAATAGTAGATAATAATAAGAAGATAAAATATAATAGAGTAATACACTGTTTCCTTTAAAAAAAATATATATAAATATTGGTATAAAAAAGTATATATAGATTAGATTAGATAGACAGTACTCTACTAAAATCTATCCTAACTATCTACTATTTTTAAACTACTACTATCTAATATATAATTAAGCAAATATATTAAAATAATACAGAGTTAGAGTTAAATAGCCAATCTGCTAACTAGTAAAATTAGAAATTTATAGCTGCGCTGTAGTAGATAAGAAAGAGAATTAAACTAAAACTAACCAAGCCTCTTCCGGGGAAACCAACTATAGGTTAACCTTAAAAAATTTTAGTTAATTAGCGGCCTTCTCGCGCGGAACCCTAGGCCGACTAAGCCCTTGGTCGTTCAACCCCAGTTGGTTAGGCTACTATAGACTATGGAGTTCATGCTAAATTCAAATCAATTAACCTTCCTATGGAGGTGAGCCAATCTACAGTAAAGCTTTGCAGTCCACGGCTACAGAAAAGTACAGATACCCGCAAACAGTTAGGAGAGTTTTCGAGCTGCCTAGACCCAGCTACTAATAAGCTTTTAGGAGCTTATTTCTGGCTATCCAGTAAGATCTTTGTTAGAGAATAAATTAGGACAGAGAATGTATGACGTCAGTGCAAATAACAGCTTAACTACCAGAAAAACCACGAGGCTCACATAATGCCAATCATAGCAATAAAACCTGGAGAAATGCCTTTATCTAATGAATTGAGTTTGTTCAGCTGGATGCTTCTCGGACCAAGATAACGCGCTGAAGTCATAGATTCGCCTTCTTAGCTGGAGCATTTACTGAGTCCGGGTAAGATAACAATGTTTGGAATATTGATGTTTGCAGTTGGTTCCCTGACCATTAGAATTGTAAGCCATAATAGGTTATGACTGCGTAGTTTGCTATGTGCAGTTCAGATGTGCTTAGGTCCAGATCTCGATCTATGATTCAATTTGTGTAACCGATGGAATGTAATTTAAGCTTTACACGAAGCTTACTTGACGAGATTCAACAATCTGACGCGTGTAGCTATAAAATCCCTCCCAAATGGTGAAGACGGTGGGCTCGAACCGAGGTTTTGAGGGGCTGATCAAATCGGCGAGGAGTTCATAAACCAATTTTTGTTGTGCAATTGTTCGTGGTGCTAAGGGATCGTGGCAGCGGCAAGTAAATGTTATAACACTACAGTGTCAACGGTTGAGAGAGGACACGGAGTTAACAGCACCGTGTATAGCCTTTATTCCCAGTGCTGGGGACTAAAAGCTTTTGTAACAACGGATTGATGATATTTTTCTTAGGTGTTGGACTCGTCGAAAATACTATGCGATCCTATAGAGCCGACATAGTATCTAACTCTTTATCCCCTTCTCCCAGAATAGGGAAAAGGGATAGTAGTTATGCATTTTAAATCTGTAAGTACTTTTGCCAATGCATTTCTTGAATACGTTCGCCATTCCTAAGATACATATTGAATAACCACACAGTCCGATTGTTCGTTGCTGCTGTTATCAATCTTGTAAAATAGACCGCGATGGTAACTCAGACATAGGTTGACAGTCCATGTGAAAAAGACTGGATGTGAACTGCCAATTCTAGTGGCCGACAGGAGGGAGTGCGAGGAAACATGTAACTTGAGAGTAGCATCGTCTACTATTCCTTGACTAGCTGGATTTTTTCACTCTATTCTGGGCTAGGTACCGTTCACGACTTTGGTATTTCAGATATCCATAAATACCGCCAGCGATAATTGCGATAGCGACGATATTGCCTTTAGGATAGCTTGTTAACGCAGTAATTCATCACAATCAAGATTAGAGGCTCACCGGTGATGAATCTCCCTACTCCACCGAAGACTTCTGACAGACCCTTCACGACGTGCAGTGCCATTTCTGGAATGCCTATGAAGAAGTTCATAAAACCCCGGAAGAGCTCGTACAACGTGTTGTATGCGGTCTCGCACACCGAAGATATGACCTCGACCACAGAGACCGCGAGACCTCTGAAAGAATTCAAGATTGAAGGCATCACAGAACAAGGTAGGAGTAGCTTCAACGCGTATTACATTCGGGAAGGCGAAATGAGAACATTTTGATGTAGGTATGAGGAGTAGTCGATGATACCTATGACGATATACGCGGTTACTTCATTCTATCTCCTAAGGCCGCTGAAAGATTGGTCGGGATTTGTACAGAGCCTATAGGACCTATAGTCCGTACTAGGCCTATAGAACCCATAACAAAACTAGGCTTAAATAAATAAAATATATTATTTTTAACGCTAAAAACAGTTAATTAGATTAATTTCATTTTTTTTTTATACCACGGTTAGATAAAAATAAAATATTTAATCTTACTGTTAACCTGCGGTTAGGTTATACTGGAGATCTTTAACCTCCCCTCACCTGGCTATTGCCTACTCTATCTGTAGAAAGTCTGAGTAACTAGCTAGTAAAAGAATAGTAAGATATAGTAGAGATCTGCAGGTGCAGATAAAGCTATACAGAGAGGGTAGGCTGTGCTCGATAGATGGGGATCAACACTTAACCTGGCCGGTCTTGGCTGTAGGGCCAGAAGCTTGTAGAGCTTCCTCCCAGTGCCCACTCTTGGCCCCCAGTCGTTCCAAGTATCTCAACCAAGACCGTGTTGTCACCAACTACAAGAAGAACATTGTTGGAGTGTAAGTTTCAGAATGTTGATGTTACTTTCACCCGCTGCACTGTCATTGCTGGTTAGACTGTATGCTTATTTTTGTGAATATGACGGTTGTTAGGCGGAAGATTGATGGGAGCTCCTGCGTGTGACGTACGGAATATATATCCGCGGAACCTACGCTCGGGCATATGGGGAACTTAAGGGAATAGATGAAACATGAGTATCAAGTGTACAGATATATTACGACGGACGAGCAAGAACTTAATTCAGCAGGCCGTTTGTTACACGGGAATTCCTCATATTGCTGCCCTTTTCACCACCCCGACGTTGCTCTAGCACGTGATCCCTGCCTTCTCAAATAAGGAAACACGTACACAAAAGCCTTCTGTCTTCCTAATCAGCCACAGGAACGACACCGAGATGTGTGGCCACCGCCTCCGCCAATGCTTTGAACGTCAAAGACGATGATAACAATTTCTGGAAGGAAAACTCAAGTCCAAATTCCTTAAATAGCCAATTCTTCATCTCCGCACCGATCATACTGTCGAGGCCGTAACTCGCGATGGAGGGACCGTCCAGATCAAAGTCTTCGGCGGAAATCAGCAAGATACTGCTGACACGCTGGGCGATGTATTGAGCGATGATCGTCAGAATGTCGTCGCGTCCCGAGGCGCCCACAGCCCCCGCAAGAAGGCTCTGGAGCCCACCAGACCGAGACGAGGTCGAGGACGTGGTCTGACCAATGCGCTCCACCTCGGTTCGAAGGTGGACGAAGCGGGCATCCTGGTACCAGTAGGCGTCGACGGTCTGGTCTGAGTGCACTGCCTTGGCCAATTCTGCAGGTTCCAGACCCAGAACAATCTGCGTATCACCAACCTCTTCCAGTGATGGTGCCGGAGCCAAGGCGCGGGACATGGCGACCTCGAAGCCGCGCAGCATCTCCTGTTCGTCGACGCCGTACATCCCCTTGCGGAGCAACAAGGTCTCGATGGCGGCATTTTCGGACACCACTCCCACGTCTAGCACCATGGGAAGCACCAAGGACACACCCGGCCAGTGGTTCAACCGTTGTTGCCATGCCAAGGTATCCAGAAAGCTGTTCGCCGCGCTATAGTTGCTCTGACCGGGATTGCCCAATGTCGCCGAGATGGAGCTGGTCATGACAAAGAAGTCGAGATCCACACCTTGTAGCGCTCGGGAGAGGCTCACTGCGCCCTGGACCTTGGGATCCACTGCAGCCTGGAATCTGCGACAATCCATCTGCTCAAAAACCCCATCCCGGAGGACCATTGCGGCATGGACAACACCACGGATGGGGCGCTGGGCGTTGACCTCCTGAACGATGCGGACCATATCGGATTGAGATGCGGCATCCGCACGGAAAACCCTGACAGACGCACCAGCGGAAGTGAGAAGATCAACTACATGGGCTGCCTCTGGTTTGTCGGTACCGGTTCGCGAAACAAAGGCAAAGTGTCGCGCACCGCGTTCCATCATGAAGCGAGTCAGACTACGGCCCAGACCACCGAGACACCCAACCAGAAGGTAGCTGGCATCAGGGGAGAAGGTCAGGCGTGGAGGCTGGGGAATGACCTATGCGAGATTCGATTATCAGCAGCTAGTCTAGATCCAATCAATGGACGAACTGCAGACTTACTCGTACAAGGCTCTCACGGTAGCGGTACGTGGCCACACCGATCTTAGTGGCCGGAATTTCGCGAAGAACGTTGTTGGACTGACAGAATTCGCCGATGTCGTGCACGCATGCAACGTTGCTGGCCAGGTTGGGGTATTTTTGGACGAGATGAAGCGCGTGCTCGAGGATGCCAGATGCGGCTGCGGGCTGCAAAGTGGCTACACTAGTTGGTACGAACAATGCACCACGGGAGAACGGCAACGGGTCTAGTGCAGATTCCAGCAATGTGTCATTCAAGACGAAGACGCTGCGTGCTGGGAGCTGCCTCCACAATTCCTGGCTCAGGGGAGAAAATTCGTGAGCAAGGATGACCCATCTGCAGTTCTTTTCACGCATGTGGGTACGAATCTCGTCAGTAAGAAGGACACTGCCGCTGTCAATGTTGAATTCACGGGAGAATTCCTGTTGCTCTTCAGTGGAACGCGTGACAAGGCTGACTTTCCACCCCATGGCCTGGCCTAACCGGACAAGTGCATACAGTGTGGATTTCGGGCCGGGCAGTGCGAGAATTCGGTCACTGCTGCTGACGGTGGCCGTGGTGATGCACATGTTGACCACCTTGGAAAGCGCTGCGACACCGGCCAGGATCGTCGTCATGTCACTACCAGCGGAGGAATCGTAGCGGATGTACGAGGCAGTCCGTACGACAGTGGTGAATGTTTCCGTCGTCAAGGCAATCACTTGGTCGCCAGCCGCAACATCGACAGGGACCGAAGAGCCACGACGGAGCACACGTCCATACACAACTGCCGGGGTGTTGGGAGTGGACTGCAGCTCAGATGCAAGGATTTGAATTTCAATCTCGTCTGACCCAAGGGAACATGATGCTTCGGCCCCGTCGTACGTCAAGGTCAGTTGCCTGTCTACGACAGAGGGTTTGAGACGGACTCCGTCCGGTAGGGGCTTGATATCCGGGGAGTGAGACGTAGGAGAAGTATGAGACGCCCATTCTCTGTTCAATGGGTGGTTGGGGACAACACGAGCAATATGAATTACCCCTTTGTGCAGCCAGAACTCAGTATCTTTGCCCGAATCCTTAGTCGGGGCGTCCCACAACGCTCCCAGGAGGGCCTCTGCCACATCTGTCGGCTGTTCCTCCTCGTCGACGTCCAACTGCACAATCATTGCGGAGGCGTTCTCTGACCGGATGACACGCAAGAACCCCTGGACCATGCCCCCGAAAACGCAAGCCCCTTGCCGGACGCCTTGGGTTAACCAGACCATGGGTAGATTTGCCCGGACAAGAGACTTCAGACTTTCAAAGGAATCGTCACTGAGACGGCTGAGCAGAGAACCATCGCGGTCATCAATAATAGCGACTGCATTTTCTTGGTTCTCTGGCAAATCGAACTGGCCCAGTGTCGTGCTCTTGACAGTGTGTCCCTTGCTGGACAAATAGGTGACGAGATGCTGGTCCACAGTCAGACTGCGGTCATGCAGAATCATGATGCTCAGCTGTTCATCGTGAATCCCGTCGGCCAATCTGGCGTGGTCTCGGGCGAGAAGCCGGACAAGACGGGTTTCCCTGTGGTCGCCCACAGCTGGAACCTCAACCACCGGATACAGAGCAGTTTCATTTGCGACGCCATTCAGAGGAGATTTCTCATCCAGCCGGGTCTCAATCACCCATCGGCTGCCCCTGGCAAGTCCCAGAACCACCTCAGGTTTACCCGAGACAGTTTCATCCACCACCACCAAGTCCACGGACCCGGCAACTGCGGCACTCGAAATCTCATCGTTCTCAAGATCATCAGGCCCGGCAGCGCGGATGTTGCAGGCCTTTGGGAGGGCAGACGAGACAGTCTCCATCACTTCTCGACTATGCTGGCCGCAGAGCAGGACGGTCGCCAGTGGATGCCGATGATGGATCATCTGAACGATTGACACGAGCACCTGCGTCTCGGATGTTCCCTTTGGCCACAGGGCAGGATGGGACGATTCAACCAACCGAAGAACATCAGGCTTCCAGGAAACAGTTGCAAATGGAGCTGGATCGAGCGCTTTGCTGGCCGCATCCGCCGGAACGGCCGCCTCGTAGGCTACGCAGCGTAGGCTCTTGACATCTACCAAGACTCGGCCGTTCTGTCCCATCAGTTGTGTGTGTGTGTTGAAGTAGCGACCCTCACACCTGTCGGTCCAGGCCACAGCCTTGCCCATGGACCCTTCTTCCCCGGTGCTCGGGAACCGCAGCGTCACTTCCTCCAGATGAATGGGTACGACTCCCCAGGGCATCTCCTTGTGTTTACCATGGTGGATGGAGACAATGATAAGCTGAAGGCAGGCGTCGATAGTGGCAGGATGGATCACGTACCGCGATTCATCCTGCACAACATCGGAGTGATCCCGGACCCGCACTTCGGCCTCAGCCTGCTGGTATCGGCGATCCGTCCGGACTTGTCCCAGCTGTTGGAAAGCCGGACCGTAGTAGAAGCCGACGCGGCGGAAAGCTTCGTACCAACGTTTGCTCGGGACCCGCTGGGTCAGTCGGGACGGGTCTACGGGGTGGTCACACTGACCCTTCTCAGGATTCTCAGGGCCAGAAGAAATTTTGCCTCGGCAGTGTGAAACCCACTTCCCCTCGGAGAGCGACTCGACGGAAAACGCATACCAGGGAGTGGTGTTATCTACACCCAGTTGCTCGTCCGCTAGCGCGTCTAGGCGCAGGATAATCTCGACACCAGCGTCGGTTTCCGGCACGACGAGCGCCGTACTGATATTGACATCGCGCAGAAGAACCTGTCCAACCGGCCATTGTTCCGCGTCAGCCACCTGGCGCAGAGCTTCGATTGCCAGCGACATGTGGCCCGCTGCTGGGAAGATAGCAGCACCGCCCAACTGGCACAATCACGTCAGTGACACGAGATATCATAGCGCATCCAAGACGAAGGGGGAGCTTACTGCGTGGTCCTTGAGCCATGGCAAGTCGCGATGCCGGAGAACATTCCGCCATACCCGCGACTTAGTCGACAGGCCGGTGACCTGGCGGCCCAACAGATCATGACGAGGCTGAACGAGAGAGCGCTGTTCTCCACTTGCTCGGGGTTCGGCCCAGTAGCGCTTCTCGTAGTTCCACTGGTATGGGGGCAGATCTACGAGAAGACGGTGCGACTTGGGCTTGCGGAATCTCAGGTCCGTCTTGCTCTCCTCGACCGCATTCACGGCCTCCAAATCCACGGGATAATCGGCGACAAAGAGTGAGCCTGCCACAGACAGGAGCTGATCGGCGTCGTCCTTACCACGCACCAGCGACGGAATATAACGCAGTTGGTCAAATTTGTTTGAGAGACAAATCTGCTTGAATGGGCCAGCTAGTGCCGAATGGGGCCCGACTTCAACGAGGCATTTGACCTCCTGGAAGGACGGGTCTGTTCCCAGAATGCGGATAGCGGTGTCGAAAAGGACTCGTGAACGCAGGTTGTCGCTCCAGTACGAAGTAGGAAGCGAGTCGATCGCCGTGTCTACCACCTGGCCCGTCACAGAAGAGACCATGGCTGAGCGGGGACGGCGCCAGCGCAGGTCATGATTACTGAGCGTGTTATAAGCGCGCGCCAACAGGACATCGTACGCGGCACCCACTGCCACCATATGGGGTGAGTGATAGGCACGTCCGGTTTTGAGCTCGCGCGCAAAAACCTTTGCGTCGTCCAGCTTTTCCTTGACCTCGCGGATATACTCGGGCATTCCGCTGAGGGTGACACTGCTGGGAGAGTTCTCACAGGCGACGCACAGCTGTTCCGGCGTATAAGGAGCCAGATACTCCCCAACGGCATCCACTCCTAGTCCGACCGCTAGCATCGACCCTTGGCCGGAATTCTCCCGGACAGCACGACCTCGGCAGTAGGCAGCCAGCAGAGCTTCAGGAGCTGATAGCAGACCAGCAGCATACGCCGCCGCGATCTCCCCAGAGGAGTGCCCCACGCTGACGGAGGGGGTCGCACCCCATTCGGAGAGAAGGTCCACAAGCGCAATCTGGACAGCAGTGCAAAGAGGCTGGGTAACTTCGGCCTCGTTGATTGTGCGTGACACGGTCTCGATAGGACCTTGAAGGAGATCGACGAGACGGAACGAAGGAGGCGGGTTCAGGCGGGCCAGGATATGGTCGAGCTTCTGCATAGTCCGAAGAAAGGATGGAAATGTCTTCGCTGCTATCTGTCCCATTCCTGCCCATTGAGCCTACCCGGGACTGTTAGCGGTTCCTCACATGGCTGGTTCGGCACGCAAGTACTTACGCCTTGGCCGGTGAAGAGGAAGCCAACTCTGGGGGCTACGGGGGTGGCCACACCGGACTGTACTGCCGATTGATCAAACGCTGCAGAGCTTTGAGCATCCCGAGCAATGGCAAATGCCCGATGACCCCATCGGGTCCGGTTCAGATTGAGGGTGTATGCCAGATCCATCACGTAGTAATCTCCGGACACTTTGTTGATAGCCGCGATATTCCGCGCGAGCGTTACCTTATCATGAGCCGAAAAGCAAAGCAGGAATGGCCGATCATATGAGCGAGTATAGGGTGCATCGCGCTTGGAGCGGGCATGTTGGTACCAGGAGTAGAGAGACTCGACTGACTCGATAATGACATGACCGTTGGTGCCTCCATAACCAAATGAGGAGACACTGGCTCGTCTGGCGTCGAAATCCTGTGGCCATGGGGCGGTATCAACATTTACCTTGACGTTCCACTCCTTTTCATGGACTGTTCATTCTAGGTAAGCCAAATGAATAGGGAAATAACTTATATGGACGTTCACGTACTGGCTGGGTTCAACCGTTGGAAGTGAGCAACGCCAGGAATTACCCCAGCTTCCGTCATCAGGGCGGCTTTCATGACGGCAAAGATACCACTGGCGGCCTCGCTGTGCCCGATATTCGGTTTGACCTGTGGATTGATGTTAATGCACGACGTCCGAGATGTGCCGACAAGAGGGAACATACAGCACCCAAGAGCAGCGGCTTCTTCGATGAGCGGGTGTCGTTCATCGCACTAGCAATGGCTCGGACTTCAATTGGATCGCCGACGGGAGTGCCGGTTCCATGCAGTTCGGCATAGGCAGTGCCATTCGGGTCCAGCCCTGCCTTCTCGTATGCCATACGGACAACAGTCTCCTGGCCCTTGCCGCTGGGGTGGGTGATACCCATGCCCTCAACTTTTCCATTCCTGTAGGTGGCACTATTAGACCTTGAATTTCGGAGTAAAGAGGAAGATGACCACGCACGTGTTGACTGCACTTGCTCGAATCACTCCTCGTACGGGATCCCCATCCCGAATTGCATCCCGGAGACGTTTCAAGTACAGGGCTCCAGCACCTTCAGCGCGACCATAACCATCGGCTGCCGCGTCAAAAGTGTGGCAGGTCGAGGTCGGAGATAAAATCCCAAGTTTAGCCGTGTTCATGTGCTGGTCCACGGTGATGATTAGATTGACTCCACCAACCAGGGCAGCATCACAGTCGCGTGCGCGAAGGGCATTGCACGCGTTGTGGATGGCGTAGATCGACGACGAGCAGGCGGTGTTGATAGTAAAGCTGGGCCCCTTAAGATTGAAGATGTTGCCGACCCTGTTGCTGATGATGCCTGGGTCGACGCCCGTGGCGGCGTAGTTGTGGCGAAAGTCCGGGTCTCGGATCGACATTTGTTCTGACAAGATATCAGTACCCTGGAGACGAGTGGGTGGTGTTCATGAAAGAAGGAAGAGATGGGAGCACATACGGTAATCCGACGTGAACGATCCCACAAAAACAGCAGTGTTGGAACCTGCCACTGACTCCAGTGGGAGTCCGGCGTTTTCCAGGCATTCGTAGGCGACCTCGAGGATCTTGCGTTGCTGGGGATCCAGCCATTGGGCCTCGATAGGAGTCATGTTAAACGCGGTAGGATCAAAGTCTTCGGGGCGGCCGTCCAAGAAGTATCCGCCGGGCACATTGAACGACCCGGGACGCTCCAAGTTGGAGTGGTAATAGGCATCGATATTGAAACGGGATTCGGGAACTCGCGGTGTCTGTCCAGACTGCTTTTTCACGAGCATCTCCCAGAACGAGGAGGGAGAATCCACACCTCCCGGCAGACGACATGCTGGTAGTAGTCAGCTGGTTGGACAACGATGGAGTGAGACCACGCGGTGCTTACCCATGCCACAGATGGCAATTGGCTCCAGCATGGGATCATCCCCTGGCGGGCTATATGTGCGGTGAGGCATGGTGGACGGTAGTGGGCCAGATGGCAGACAAGGGTGATTGGCTTGAGATGGTGGTATGAAGATGGTCTTTTGGAGAGCCGTTGCCTGTGACGGTGGTGGGATAGAAGAGCTGATATAAAGACATCTATTAGAATCCCCTCGGGAGACTTAGTTCGTGTCGGTGGCAGTGACAGAGAGAAAGCGCCGAGAAGATCCCAGACCGGCGATGAGCAACATCATCCTAGCCCGGCTGACCGTCTTCAACGCAATCTTCGGGCTACATTGGCCGAGATTCTGGATCGCAGGTGAGTCCTCGCCTGATGAAACGGCCCCCACGGCCCGTTGAGTCCACCAATCGTAGAGGCAGTGGTGAGCTACGTGCCTTCAATAGAAGAGACGGAGAGCCGTCAGGAGGAGGTGCATCTTCCCAGTAGAGAACGCGTGCAACTTCCAGAACACCGGACAATCACGATGAATCTTCCACTGCTTCGATTCTTTTTCCACGGTCTTGCTCTCATGGCCACTCTTCTCCTCTGGGGCCTCAGTGCCTGGAATGGCACCGTCAAGGCCCTCGTTCTTGCCGTGTATCATGCCCGGTTGGCCGACGGGACTCCGTTACGGACGAGATACACGGGAATTCAGCTGATAGACGTTCCCATCGCCCTTCTCGTTGCGTTTTTCTTCTATGGTACCAACGGCTCGGTCCCCGGCTATCAGCTCTTTTTGCTTGATGCGTATTCCACGTTGCAATCCGCGTTCGTTTGGTTGTACGTGGAAAGCTTCCGCCAGTCCGCGAAACCCAGATGGGTTGCTTGGTGAGTGTCTCCATCTGCCATCCTGCCGTCACCGGTTGTAGATAGTACTAACAAAGGACGCCAGGCCAGTCATTTTCGGTTTACTCTGGCAGGGATTTGGGGCCGCCATTGCTTTGCCACTGTATTACGCCCTGCATCTGTCATGGCTGCTGACAGCACCACGAGCCGCTACAAGCGCTGTCGACCTGCGAGGCGCCAGGGTCATCCCGTTTGGCTTTCTGCTCGGGGCTTTCCTCCCCGCAGTGATTGGAATGCTGCCGACATGGACCGGCGCGGCGGCTCGGTCGGCCGGTGACCACCAGCGTATTCTAGCTGCATGGCAACCGGACCCCCTCTGGGTCTCATTGACTCAATCGGCGCTGGTGTTCGGGCTCGGCCGTCTCTTGCGGACCGAAGGGAGGGGATCTTCCCCACAGGACCAGGTCTCTTGCTGGGTACGCGGTGCGTATTTGCTCGCGGCAATGTCATCAGTGTGCGGGCACGTTTACACCATGATCACGGTGTTATTGGATCCCCAACTCAGCCTGTGGCACATGTACGTTCCCTCTGGTCGCTACGGGCCATCTGGCGTCTCGGATGAAATCTTGATCCGAGGCCCCTGGCTGTTTCTGCAGTGGGACCTGATCATCATCAGTCTATCCAGTGTCTCTTGGGTTGGTGTTCTTCTCCACCACGCGTTTAAAAAGCCTTGTGGACTTTGGACGATCAAGGTGGGCCTCGCATTGACACTGGGGAGCGTAGTGATCGGGCCGGGGGCCACCGTCTCACTGGCACTGGTCATCAGAGAAAAACACCTGGGGCGCCTCAGGAAGGCGCATGCCCATTGGGCATGATTTTGTCGGTTCGGGGGGGTCGATATGGTGCTTCGTACGTAGTAATCGGCTAGTTAGTGAGCAAGACGAAATGTCAAGTGGCGATTCCCATCATCACTTCTCCCCTCGTGCCGATTCGGGCCGAGAGCCCCGAATGTAGTCTAGATTGGAAGTAATTATATTCATACCTGGACGGTAGTCTACGTCCTACTAGTAGCTTGGAGCATCTCACAGTCAACGTTATTGCATTGATCATGTCTGACTTGAGCGGAAAGGTCATCGCCATCACGGGTGCTGCCTCAGGCATCGGCCTGGCAACCGCCCGACTTCTCGCGCAACAGGGCGCGCTTCTCTCGCTGGCTGACATCAATGAGGCCCGGCTGGGAGAAGCGGCCGACAAGCTTCGGCAACTCTATCCCCGTGAGGTATCGAGCACCGTAGACCCCGTCCTGACGACCGTTCTAGATGTCCGGTCCTCGCAGGCTTGCAACCACTGGGTGCAGAAGACCGTCACCCACTTCAATCAACCTCTAGCTGGAGCTGCCAATCTGGCGGGTGTCTTCGGAAAGAGCATTTGGCAGGAGGTCGGGGCGATACGCAATATGACAGACCTCGAAGCAGACTTTGTTCTCGATGTCAACTGTCGGGGAACATTCAACTGCCTGAGAGCGGAGTTGGCGCACATGAAGACCGGCGCGGGGGGACGACATGGAGGCAGTATTGTCAACGCCGCGAGTATAGCAGGAATCATAGGAGTCGAACACAATGGCCCTTATGTGGCGAGTAAACATGCGGTGGTGGGATGGACACGGACGGCGGCCAAGGAGGAGGGGAAACGGGCCATCCGCGTCAATGCGATTGCTCCGTAAGTTAATAGCCTGGTGTTCCGTTCCTGTTGAATTGGTCTGCGAGCAATCACTGATTGTGACACGCTGTCAGTGGAATAATTGCCACCCCGATGATCAGTCAGATTGAAGCCGCGGCCGGAACCACCGAACTGTTTGGGGCAGGAGATCCGGGGGCGTTGGCCCGAAAGGGAGATGCTGGAGAAGTGGCTGCAGTGGTTGTGTTTCTGCTTAGTGACCAGAGTAGTTTTGTCAATGGGGTGGTGCTGCCAGTGGACGGGGGGTGGATGTGTTGATTTGAATGTAGAAACCTAGGGTTTCCTCACCTTGTGTGTCTCTGCTGGCGTAGATGGTCTGCTGGTGATTAAATCCAAAGATATATGATTTACGGTGGAGTTGACGACCTGGTTTTTTGGTGCTTTGCTGCCAATCCCACTTTGACCATCCCATATATATAAGATGCACATCCTGTCAGATGCGCAGTGTAAGTCAATCTGGAATGTTGCCTCTGGAGAGCAAGAATGTTGTCTTCTCCAGTATCTATATATTTCTATAGGTTGGAACACAGCACTTGATACAAGCAATGTGCCATGTGGCTGTGTGTTATGGACAAGGAAATGCATTATATTAAATCTCAACCAAATAGCACTGACACTATGTAAACCAAACCGCTAAAGTCTAGCCTCATCTATCCGCATTACACCTGAGCGAATACGCACCACTTTGAACATGTAGGCTCCCTATCACCATCATTGGCCGTCGAGGATAGACTCGGCAATCTTCTCGGCGAACATGTCTGCCAACCCCCTTGTTAGTTATCATCCCCTCGGAGCTAGTCTTTGTAATGGGGAGCACATACAAACAGTGGCCATAGGAAATCCTGGAGGCACGAATGGGAAAGCACTAGCGTCCACGACGCGCAGGCCAGTCACCCCACGCACTCGGGCGCGCGAGTCCACGACGGCGGTGGTATCGTTGGAAGCGCCCATCTTGCCTGTAAAGAAGGATGAGTGACCGTTTAGCGCTTGCATAGGAGAGTAGGAGACTTACACGATGACGTGGCGTGGTAAATCAGACTCATATTGTTCTTGAGCCAGTCAAGGATCTCCGCACGAGTCGTCACATTGGGCCCTGGTAGATATTCCTCCTCCACAATCGTACTGTTAAAAGCAATTTCTCGGATCCGCTGAAGAGCGGCAATCGCCTGTTCCTGATCACCCTGGTCCAAAAGCCAGTTGGGGCTGATAATCGGAGGATCAGCAATATCCGCACTCTGGATGGTCAGGTTGCCCTGGGCAGAGGTGGTGAGCAGGGCCGAGCCAATGGTGAGGTAGTTATCGTTCGGCCCCAGGTCAGACGGGTATGAGCCATACTCCAAGGAGAGATAGTTGACCTCGGGCCAGTCGCTGGGGAAGGTGTCGAGGAAATCCCGGGTGGACTGGCTGAATTCCTGGCGATAGGAGGCGGGGAATTTCTCAAATGCTATATCAAAATAGTCAGATCAGCGCCATGCCGGCTGGACAACTTGGAAGGCATGAGAACACGGACCTAGTGCTTGACCTCCTCCAATGCTTGAGAGCAGACCTGTCTGGTTGTACAGATATTCTTCCACACGGGCCGCCGAGACCTCGGGGTTACCCGCAGCCACCTGCGTACCAGTGGTGACATTGACCTTGTACGATAGGGCCATCCAGGGTTGATCCTAGAGCATGACCAGTCGATTAGCGTTGCCCAATCCTCACCGGGAAACCTTCCCTACCCTCGCTCCCTGACCCACTCCGGGCAGGTCTACCACAACCGGGATGTTGTATTTTTGCAGAGTCTCCGATGGGCCAATTCCGGAGAGTAGCAGAATTTGGGGAGAATGCCACTACCGGAGAATTCGTCAACCAGAAGCACTAGAAAGCTAGTTCCTGAGTGGGATACTTACAGTGCCAGCAGACACGATGACCTCCTTGTTGGCACGGAGATGATACTTGAAATTCGACATCAAAGAGTTTGTCTGCACCTCGACTCCAGTGGCCCGATTGTTCTCATCGAACAGAACGCGAGAACCCAATGTCTGTGGATAGAGCTTGATCTTCGAGTTCTGTGCTGCCAGCTGCAAAAACGAGGTTTCGGAGCTGCTGCGAGTCGCTTCTCTTGGATCAATGGCGGCCGTGATCGTGGCGTAACCAATCAGCCGACCACTACTCAGTCCTGGAATCCGATCAAAGCCGAGTTTGTCGAGGGATTCTTCCAGGTACGGGCCGTAGGGGCCGAGGTAGTTGCCGTACGATACTTGCAGGGGTCCTCCGGCGCTCTCGAAGGCAGATGGATCGTAGGAAATGTTGAAGGACGGATCGATCTTGTCATAGTTGGGCGGAGTGAAGTTGCAGCTCTTCTTATAAGCAGGATACACGTTGTCCCAGGACCAAAAGTCATCGTCGACCACCTTGGACCATTGGTCGAACGTGCCCACGGTGGCCCGCGCATACCCCATGTAGTTTGAAGCGGAGCTGTTGCCTCGTCAGTCTATTGCTCTGTGATACAAAGCTAGGGCTATCTTTTCCAACTGACCTCCCGCCAAAGGTCTGGCCGGCAACATACATAATCTCGCGACCATTATAACCCTGCACGCCATTAGTACGCCAGGAAACGGACCCCTGTCGCCGGTTGGCCTACCCCTTGGGGTGCTGTAAGCAACCCAAAATTGGTCAGGGATTCGAAGGAGCCCCCCACAAAGTTGGCCAGAGCAGAATAAAAGTCATAGCCGGGAACCTGAGTGCGATTGGAGTTGAGGATTTCGTAGAACGAGCCTGCCTCGACCACTGCCACCGAGTAATTCGCTGGGTCCAGGGCCAGCCGTGCAGCAATAGCATTGCCTGCCGTGCCGCCTCCGACAACGATGTAGTCGTATGTGGCATTCACCCCGGGCTGGCCGAAAGAGTTTCCGAACAACTCCGTCACGCCGCTGGGAGAGAGGCCCACGCCGATGGTCGCCAGGGTGGTGGGGAGGAAGCACAAGGTGTAGAGGAGGGTGGTCATTGTGCCTGGTCGCATATGCATGTCCGCCCTATCGTGCTTCGTGCAGAAATTAGTGACAGGTACCTGCGTCTACCCTTGAAATGGAAGCACGAGATCTATATACCCCTGCGGCTGGGTGATGGAGATCATTGTCGTTCGGCGAGTTCGGCCCGAGTTGTTGTATACACCGAGACAGCATCCTCAGCATACCCGGGCTGAAGGCATAAATACGGGATAGGCAAGTGGAATGGGCTGATGGCATCAAATCAAATAGCATCTCGCCTTGATTGCCCCGTGTACAAGACCGTGTGACCCATCACGATGGCACAAACGTCCTTCTGTGGCCTGACGCCCATTCTATACCTGCTCAGTGTGCTGGGCACGTATCACACCTGGGGCCGAACTGTTCTCGATGGGACACTGTTCCATCTAATTGCAGCTCTGCACGGATCGACATCGTACATCCTGCCTGGCACCGACTCTCTCCTCCGGACGTGCATTACGGGCATCTACTGGCCAATTGATTATCTCCTAGATATTCTGATTGTCTTTTTCTGGGAAGCTGTGGATGGATCGCATCCGGCCACTTCGGCCATTGGCGTTTACTTCCTAGCGCAGTACCTGAGTGTGCTGACAGGGGTATATGTGGATAGTCTGAGGCGGGGCCAGTCCGGAAGGACCAGTCCTATGCGGTGGGTGCTTCTCTTCTCTTCGCCGCGTTTCGGTCGTTTCGATCCTAGCTCATGGTGACACTTGGATCTCACTGCAGGACGATGCTGTGGCTACTGTTGTTCCAACTCTCGGCTATCGCCTGTACCGGCCCACTGTGGGCTCTTTGGTATCTCACCAACAGCCCATTGATCGCAGACGACATCTCATTCGAGCATTTACGCAACAAATCCAGCACCCCGCCCCGCCAAGTCATACTGATCCTTCCTAGCCTAGTCCTGGGCTACCTACTCCCCGCGGTGGCTATGGCGCTACCCTCCCCTGGCCTGGTGTCCAACAACTTTCAGCAATTAGCATTGGTGGCATGGAACATCTTCCCGGTCCTTGTCTATCTGGCCATGCGGGTCCTGCAAATGGTCCTACCCGTCGGCAAGGGTAGTATCTGGAACGAAGAGTATACGTTCAGGAGGACTGCAACGTGTATATTGAACGCGACAATGCTTTTGATTAGTTTCACCACCCATATCGGGCTGACGAGCATCAGCCTCTCCACAATCCTGTTCCCGAACCTCTGGGCACCGGAGGCCATCCGAGAGTTCAATCCGGCTTCGCTGCTGATTCCGCCGGTCTCTGTCACCCGGGCGCAGACGGTTGGAGACGGAGTCCGCAGCTTCTTCCTGTGGGATCAAGTTTTCGGGTATACGGTGGGCATCCTTGTTGCCTGGCTACAGCTACGGACGGTCCTCATTTCGCGTGGGTGGCATCGGCAATGGCCATGGCCAAAGGTTCTGTTGGGAATTATTGGCGGGACAATGATCGCGGGACCAGGGAGTGTATGCTTGGGATTGAACTGGATCCGAGATGAAATCTTGATCCCGTCCGGCGGGGCCAGCCAGAAAGAAGAGTAAGCCGAATAGGGACGTTGGGCCTTGCGACAAGAGGTTCGGGCCATCCGGGCCGAAGTGGATGTGGTCTGCTAGGCTGGAGGGAGATATTGCATGGCATGATTGTGGTTGTTAGTAGTATGGGACAAGCAGATGATTTCTCCAATACCATCCAGCCACTGGGAATGGAACACTACGTCGTACTCCGTAAACTGCCACCAGCAGGTCCCATTAACATTCTTCGAGTTCCCTAGTCCTTGCTAACCGATTGCGGAAATACCTCATGACTCGTGTCAGATGTATCCTGTCAGCAGCTTCTAGAAACTTCACCCCTCCCATCTTTCCCTACAGGCCACGCAGGTCACCATACCGCTATCCAAGAGCCTTATTGCTTTCTCGAATGCTGGACTGGACTCGAATGTCCCAGCCGCCGGACAAACAGTCTAACCCAAGGCAAAGACCGACCTATACTTCAAGGGCCAAAAATGACAGACCCGCTGGGGACCCGCGGGGCGGCATTCCTGGCCGAGACTAGTCATGCAGCTTAGCAAGCCACATATATCACCGCTGCACACTTCCTAAAAGCAACGCGAGGTGATAGCGGTCTGGATTAATCCACATGGCTGTATACCCTGGGCGAGTCAAAATCGTCGCTCTCCATCGAATCATCTAGATCGGCGGACGGACCATTCGGTCCGAAGACATCATTCTTTGTCTGCATTCATGCCCTGTCCACGGTTTTACTTTCTGCGGCAGCCCGATTACAAATCGAGGGACAAAGAAACCTCAGATGTATATACGGCTCTCCCGGAACAGCTCAACCACGGCCCTCTCGCTCGTCAATCATCATTGTCGCATCTATTGTCACCGTCAGCACTAGCACCACCATGCCGCCCCCCTACAATACCCATACCACCACTGATGAACTCGTTACCGATTACACCTCCCTTATAAAAGGAAAGGTCATTTTGACTACCGGAGTCTCTTCCGGCTCCCTGGGTGGCTTTTTCGTCCAATCCATTTCCAAGGCCGAGCCTGCCTGGCTCATCCTGGCCGCTCGCAATGCCGACAAGCTGGCCCAGACGGCTGCAGAAATCACCAAGGCCCAACCTGCGGTCAAGGTCCGCACGCTCCAGGTGGACCTGGGCTCCTTGAAAAGCGTGCGCGAGGCAGCCGCGCAGGTCAACTCTTGGGACGACATTCCTGTTATTGATGTCCTTGTCAACAATGCAGGAATCATGGCGGTGGATTACAAGCTCTCCCCTGACGGATTTGAGTCCCACCTGGCAACAAACCATTTGGGGCCGTTCTTGTTCACCAACCTGATCATGAAGAAGATCGTAGCTGCAAAGGACCCCAGGATCATTGTTGTCAGTAGTGACGGTCATCGGTTGAACCCATTCCGGTTCGATGACTACAATTTTGACGTAGGTCATCCAATGACTGTTAGACGATCATGCAAAGTCTCGAGATACTAACAAAGACGGCGCAGGATGGAAAGACCTACAACCGGTGGTACGCGTATGGCCAGAGCAAGACGGCCAATATGCTGTTTGCCATCTCTCTTGCACAGAAGCTTGGGATGAAATATAACCTCCAGGCATTCAGCCTCCATCCAGGAGTCATCTGGACCAATCTCGGAAATCACTTGGACTGGAACGTTCAGTTTGATGAACTACGTAAGCCAGAACTTCACTGATGCCCTGCTCAGCTTGACCCTCGTCCTGACCCTCGCTAGGCAATGCCGACAAGTCTCTGGGTAATCGTGAAGGGTGGAAGGAGTTCGATATCAAACCCCTCGAGAGGGGTGCTGCAACCCACATCTACGCGGCATTCGATCCAAGTCTTAAGGGTATGTTTTCTGTAAGAATCGCATGTGGTCACATTCATTGACGTTTCAATAGCGAACAACGGGGCCTATTTGCTCGACTGCCATGTAGCCGATCCTCTGGTGGATACAGTCAAACCGTGGGCCGCCAGCAGCTTTGAAGCCGAAAGACTGTGGCAGCTGAGTGAGAGGCTGGTTGGACAGGAGTTTTCCTACTAGGGTAGTTGACGTCCACCGATAGTGGTTGTAGACGAAATCGACCTTGAATCAAGAAATTGACTCAGTTTAGACGTTAAGCTCTTCTTGTAGTTTGTTGCCTTCTGTGGGATCCCCTCACAGTGACCTGTGCAAGCATATTATGACAGCAAATTGTCAGTACTACATAAACCTTTCCTCCTTGGAGTTTACCATCGGGGGGCCAGGGGGGAGTGAGGGCGGGCTGCTATCAAGCTAAATCGTGATTGTGTAGTTTCTGCTCTGCATCTGAGGAAGAATATACAACTAAAAGAACAGACTATAGACCACGTACAGTGCCGTCAGACAGCCTGCCAGCCACACCGTCAACTTGCTATCGGAAGCCATCTTCTTACCTCCGGCAAGGGAACCACTGTCCTCGTCGTCCGCCCATTGCAACCGGCCCCGTGCGAATCCTCGACCAACGCCCACATAATTCAACTTTGGCGCTTTTCTGATCAGTTCGCCCAGCTGATCTGTCAGTATGTGATCGGCCTGGAAGGGCAGCACCCAGCAGGCCAGGAGTTTTGGCGCAATCCCATCCCATGCCTGGAGCCTCGTGATCAGCGAAGACAGATTCATGATCTCGTGCATTCGCTCCTCCCGGTCTCGCTGATATTGGCCAAAGACTTTTCCTAGGGTTGCCCGACTGACTCGGCCACCGTGGTGGGCGGCCAGTGTCCCTTTAATATGATTGCACAACACCACCACGGATTCCATCGTCGAGTTTCCCCCAAGAGCGATATTAGGCGTCACTTTATGGACAGAATCCCCAGCCAATACGATGCGCCCGTGATACCAGTGTTGCAAGGTCCTCTCTTCGAGAGAAATCAAAGAGCCGCGGATCCGCTTCTGCCAAATCTCTCCAAACACGAGCGTCTCACAGACCGGGTGGCTAGCAATAGTCGCAGCCCAACGTCTCGGCATCTGCATCGGTGTATTGTCGCCTTTCTGGCCAGCAGAACTCGTGTTCCAACCGGAAGAATACAAAGAAGAACAGCTTGTCCGGCTGCGTGAGGAACAGAAACGAGTATCCGTCGTCGTGAACCACAGTCATATCCCTTTCACCTAGCGCCGGTGCTGGAGGCCCCATTCCGACCAGGCACTTCCACCTGGTGACCATCGAGGTCTTCTCCTGAGCCGTGATAATCCGGGGAATCTTCTGGTTAGCAAGATCCCACATTCTTTGTCTCACCAGGCTATGCACGCCGTCGCAGCCCAACACCATGTCCCCTCGTTCGACAGCCCCGTTCTCGAGGATCACCTCGACCCCGGTGCTATCCTGAGTGATATCGCGAACTTTGCATCCAAGTTTAAAGGGAGACTTGTCGGGGAGGCAGTCGTATAGGATTCGCAGAAATTCCCTCCGTTCGAGGAGGAGAATGTCCTGCCCGTGGCTACGAGTCTGTCAGCATGACTCTGCCGAAGTACATCCACGATCTCGGGCAGAAGGAAATGACCTACTTATCTCGCACATTGTCAAAGAAACCACTATTCATCCAGAGCTTCCCATCTGGTCCCCTGGTGATGAATCGCTCGCAGGGGCGACAGGCCGCCATCGCCGCCTCAAGGCACCCGATTTGGGACAAAATGCGTGCTCCATGCGGGTAGATGGCGATGCTGGCCCCGACTGGAGGAGCCACCTCTTTTGACCTCTCAAGCACAACATGGTCGATTCCCGCTTTCTGGAGAGCATGGGAGGCCGTCAGTCCGGCCACGCCGCCGCCTACAACGATAACACGAAAGTTGGAAATCATCTCACAGTGATAAGTATGTCTGCTCAGGGCTGACCAGGGAATGCGACGGTATCAGGGCAGGTCGGGCCTTATCTGTTGCTAGGGTGTATTTTGGTTCTGGGATCCAGCGGAGCTCTCAATATAGTATTAGCTTGGTTGATTTTACACTGCGAGAAATCAGACAACTTCGGGCCGAGGCCTTATACATCTAATCATCACCAACAAAAGCGACGACATGTATGAGAGCAGAATAGGCACTCGGCCAGAACTCGGCCCGAAAGAAATAGAATCCCGAGTACGGCCTTAGTGGCTATGACCGGGCGCTTTCCCACGGCCACTTGTGCACTCTTCATGAACCTTAACGTGCCACGAAAGGGGAAATACGCAGTAATTAATATTCGTGCTAGGACATGGTGTGCCAGTAGTGCTGCAATCTATGCAGTGATACTTGTCACTTCGGCCCGAGTCCACCGAGAAGTCACCCATGGCCAAGGCGGACCACTTTACCTGGTCCCTACGCGAGGAATAGTCAGGGTCTATCAGCAAGGATCATTTTCATTGCAAGACCAGGTGGTTCCGCTTCATCAAGCTGCCTTTATGTACAAGGAGACCTTGGCAATGGAATGCAGTAGTAAAGTGCGTTGTGTAGGCTTGAGAAACTCGATCCCAAAGCACAAATATATTTCCCTGACAGAGGATGCATTCGAGGAAGTAATGATAATAAATTGGCCTATATTCTCTACCATGTGGTAGTTACACGTATTGTAATGACTCTATAAGAGTTTATTCATCACAGTTCCGTGTATACAACGATCAGATACTTCCTACAAGAGCTGGCATTCGAAAGCATGATCTCATCCAGAACATGACTACAAATGGAAGAAATAAACCACTGAATTGGATTCGGATTAGCCCAGAGTGCATGTTTTGTTCATTTGGATATTGCTTAGTATCACTTGGAGAGTCGAAAGTGCGTGTATATATCGTGATGGTCAATTCAGTACTACAGCACCTGCCCTTTCACTGTTATACATTAAGCTTCCCGGGAATTTGCACAACTGAAACCGGTGCCACCCCTTCTTGCCAAGTATTCATCAATGAACCCATTGAAATCCTCTGGCTTGTAAGGCTCCAAAAGCTCCGCCACTTTGTTTGACTTCCGACGGCTATTCAATCCCAGGTCTTTAAACAGAACGTCGACATACTAACCATCATTAATGCACTCTGCCGAACATTAGAATAAAGGCAAGGCGGTGACTTACCGGGAGGAACTCGTACAGAGAGTATGGGAACTTGTGTCCTTGCGTAAGGTACCTCTTCCTTGTCCAAGCATTCCACAACGAGATTTCCCGGGCCATCTCGTCTACGCTCGGCAGGTCTAGCTCCCCAAGAAGGTACAGTATACTCCAAAACGACTGCACTTCGGACACGAGAGGCGTCTGTACAGTGTGGATCTGCCCGAGGATGGCGATGGACCGGTCCCCTTTCTGCGCAAGTTCGATGGGAATGGCGCGACGATATAACCTCCAGTAGCGGTGGGTCCCAATCCGGTGGGTATATTTCAACTTTGGCGGATCGGCAAGGAATGGCAGTTGTTGATCCACAAGTTTCTCGGCCATGGAGTCGTATTCTTTCCAGTCGATACCAGTATTTGAAGCCGGCTCGTCGGGCGAGGAGAGGGGAAGCCCGAGTTCTGCCTTTGTCTTCTCATCGAACATACCAAAGTGATCTCCCCAACCAGTGCACAGCACGAGACAGTCCGTCCTCAGCGTCTGGCCGGACTGCAGCGAGAGATTATCTCCCTTGACCGTGTCAATCGCGTCTCGGAGCACGGTCAGGTTGGGATTGTGCAGTGTTGGCCAGAAATCGGGGAGCGTGACGACACCCAGGCCGGAATTAGCCCAGAAAACACTGGGTCAAGCGTTAATGAGCCGAAATAAACACTTCAAGCCTTGAAAGAACCTACCTCTGTCGATCGATTTCCGGTCTGAGCATCGCAACATGGTCACCGTTTGAATACCCAGCGTGGGCGTGACTTAGGTAGGTTAGTGCATCCCAGAATCTGCCGACGCACCAACGCCCTACAGGATTCCGCTGGAACGCCCAGAAGATGGGTCCCTTGGTGTTGAGGATAGACGGTGTCAAGTATGTCATGAGGCGGGTAGATGCGACAGCGATTGAGTTCATCACTCCCAGAATCTTGAATGGCAATATCGCCAGCGGACCCGCACCCTCCCGCCGGATGATCCAAGTGACCTTCTTGCCCATGGACAAAAGCAAGTAGACGGCGTCGTAGGCGGATTTCGCCGCGCCAACCACAGCGACGTGCTCCAAGGACGGGTTCTGCAGCATGGGGTACGAGCTTCCCAGATCCCGCGAGTGGATGATGGGAATCGTCGCACTTTTGGTGCCTGGGTATTCAGGAATACAAGGAATGGACGTGACTCCGGTGCAAACGATGAGCTTTTCTGTTATGACAACGTCTGTGGAGTCTTTGAATGCCAGGCGCCATCCATCCTCTCCCCGCGAGGCGTTGGTAACGAAGGTGTTGAAGCGAATTCGATGTAAGAGATCATGATCTTCCGCGTATTGCTGGAGATAGTTATGGATCATTTCTCCAGTGACTCGCTCATCTTTTGGGTTGCCGCCATTGGGAGGCATTGCGGTATCGGTATAGTTGAATAGCTGTCCGATAAAATTAGCCATAGCATTGAAGGATGGCAGGAAATGGAGTCCCTCACCCCGAGTCTAACTTGGGCGACAAGGTTAGGATACACTCGGTCGCGGCTCCAAACTCCCCCCACCGTGCTGTCACTGTCAATAATGACCAGGTTGGCGGCAGGGCGTAGGCGCAGATATGTTCTGGCCGCCACCAACCCATACCACCCTGCTCTGTAGCTTAGCATTCATGGCCCCACGGATGGAGAAGTCGCCAGGGAGCGTCATACCTGCACCAATGATAGCGACGTCTACCTTCTGCACCTTATTCGGAATCATGGTAGGCTTGATTGCGTTGGTCTAGACCGGTGGGCAACAAGAGAACCTTTGATGGGCTGCCTATAGATGTTATATCTGGGAATGAATGGCACCGGCAAACAAGATGTCTCGGTCTTCAAGGGTTGTGGAAGACCTGTTACACCGAGCTAAAAAGTCTGATGTGTGCAGTGGCTTCACGAGATAGCAAACACTTCGGGCGATTCGGCCCGAATCGGTCAAGTCAATACACTGGCATGACACCTAGTAGTGAGACGCTTGAGTTTGGTATGGTACAATCATGAGCAGTATTGGAAAGTGTCAACCATGACGTGGTTTATAATATATCCACATGATAATCGCCATAGGACTCTGACCTGGTGATGACAAACAGAAGGATGACAAGACACAGAGATACAGGATAACGCCAGATCTTCCCAAAGGTACAAAATCTAGGAAATCAAAGTCACATACGCCGTTGGAGCTCTAGTGCGGAATGGATGTCATAATTTGTACCGAAAAAGGTGGAGATGTCAGCCTCTGCAGCTTGTAACTCATGCTCCAGCACCCCCAGCTTCCATTTATACGCGTCAAGATTGCCCAAAGACGTCTGAAGATTCTGGAACTCCAGCCAATATTTTGTATTAGCGAGAGTGGCTGTTTCCCGCAACCGGGCTTCGAGGATCTCCAGAACCTGAGAGTAGTTGATGTCCGGGGTCCGCCGAGCCCACGCCAGATACTCGGCCACGGCGGTGGTCATCCCACCAACGTAGACTTGGTTTGTGAAGGTCGCTGACACGAACCGGATGAGTTCACGAAGGATTATGCCACCATCATCGGGGGACTGCGACCCGCCTCGCTGAGTCTGCTGCTGCAGCTGCTGCCCATTCAAGGCGCGGATCGCACGGAGGGTGGGCAGACATGGACTGAGCGGACGGCCCTCCAGTTGCCCCGAATCGGCGGTCACCCTTCCGGGTTCCGATACGGTTTGTTCGCCCAGAAATGGGGGAAAGGCCAGGGACCAGGGCAACGATAGTGGTGTCTCCTCCGTTGTACTCGGACCCAGCACACTGGTCAAGGGGCTCATCACCCCTGCCAGTTCGTCGGGCGTAGGAAGGGTTGCTTCGACTCCCGAGACATTCCCCAGTGGTGTCACCGGCGTTGGTAGAACCGATGGGGGTCTGTTCAGGTGCGAGGAAGGCGGCGGGGAAGTCTCGATCGACGACAGGGCTGGCGTGGGCATAACCGGTGCTCCATAGCGGTCAGGACATGATACAGCTGATGTGTCGTTCAGCTTTGCCTCCGCTCGGGCTAGTTGCATTACCAGAATTAGCAAGCGATCCGTTTCGCATCGTGCTTAGCAGAGCGAGAACTGAGTATATAAGCCTCGAGCCATGTAATTGCATCTACTCACCTAGACGCTCTTGCAGGTTGTCAATTTTGGCAAGGAGATCGTTCTTCGTTTGCCGAGCGGACTGCACATAGACGCATTTCTCCCCATGCCGCTTACATGTCTCGCACGACGGCTGTCCACCATCGCAACGGACTTTGCGTTCCCGACAGGTTCGACATGCCATGTGTCGGGATGGAGCCGTCATGGTGTTGAGAGAACAAAGGAACCGTTCTGGTGGGATGAATAGGAAACGATTGAAACGGAGCAAATTTCCTGGAGACAGGGCGTTCCCCTGTCATGAAATGACATGGTCATTTATCACTGTGCTAGTGCAACTAACGTACAGGAGATACCCGGCCGGACTCGATGTCGCTTCGCAGCCGTTGCGTCGAGGCATACTCCGCCGCTGACTTGCCGCCTTAATTGAAACTTATGCAGTGAGCCTACAGGGGTCACGGTGGAGCCGCGATGCATCCAAGCGCCGGATTACTGGATATACCTATGCTCTGGACCTTCTTTTCTTCACCAATGATGCGTTGAAACACATTACCTGGAAGCGAGGCCGTCCATCCAAGTGGACGTTTGCCTCCAATCCAGCCATTTGTCGCTAGAACTACCGCCGGCGGACATGTCCGGTGATTCTCTACTCTGCGTGTGGGGCCGTCTTGGGATCCTCACCACCTTGTCCGCATGGATGAATACAGAAGCCATTCGAACACTCAGTGGTATGCCATCACTATTGGCGGATCACTTGGGAATGGGTTTCAACTTAATCTAATGTCCTGTTTGTGCCAGCCAAAGGATGCACATCCCTGCGCCGGCAGCATCGTAGAGTCTTGTGCTCACAACGAGAGGTGCAGAGGCCTTTTCAAGCGGTGAAATCAAGCTGTCTGCAAGGTACCAGAGCAGGCCCAGCAAGGTGACGTTCTGACCTGGATGCAGCGTATGTTCAAGATACCCGGCATACTTGGTACGATCCGATCTAGCAAGCTTTGAGAGAGCGTCCGCCGGGATGGAATTTTACTATTGCGGTTATGGATGTTTTATGCGTTCTAGTGCGTGAATCCTGTGTTGGTTTCCTGTATTTTGCATCCAGGAAGTGGTCTAGATCAGTGGGAGTAAGCACTAAGGCGTGAATGTGACGTAAACAAAGAGGCCTGAGGGCTTGGTGCTTGGCAATCTCACTCCTTGCTGTCGAAGTGCGCTTCTCAGCCGTGAGAGATCGAAAGTTTGCCTGCCGAATTGGAGGGGGATGCGTTCTCGTTGAAGACCCGGGGTCGGTCATCCTGCTGCGACGAGGGGAGCATGGATGGAGTTCTGCACTGACATGATTCGGCTGACTGTATCATGATAGGAGGGCTTGCCACCATACTATCTGACCCCTGAGGATCCCGATCCTTCGGAATTTCGAGGCGATGGAATCACATCGTCGCTCCTGGAACTTCCCATATCGCGACATCATCACGGCCCCATATTCCAAGAGTTGGCACGGCGAATGGATGTGCGGATGAGTGGACCAGCCCATTGTGCTGTTTTGCCGCCTTAATTTCAGCTACGCTGCGGCGGCTTACGGCGTACAACGGGGGGCATGCTGAGCTGGTTCGGGTGGCTTCGCCGACGTTACGGGCCGTTAGCTGCCGCGATCGTTAAGGTTATGCTAGTAAGTTCAATGGAAAAAAGGTTAACGAAACTACCCATGGCAAGCCATGACGGGCGGCTAATGAATCTGCGTGGACGCGGGGGAGTGTTTCACCGGGGAGACCAGAGGTTGGAAGTATCACTGCCTTTCACCCTCGGCCGTTACGCCGACGGGCACGGGTATCGCCCATGTTCGGGCCGAACCACTGGGCCGAACCACCTGAGGTGCTCTTTGCTATACACAGGAGCACTGTCTTAGGCGAATACCGCACGGGCGAGATATAAAAGCATCATCCTCCTGTCGGCGATGCATGGCCAAGCAATTGTATAGATCAGTCGACGGTCTTGCAACTATATCAGACCAGAATGGGTCCTCCGATTGTCAACTTTCCCAGCCTCCAGCCCGCCATTGTCTGGAAGGTTAATGCGGGCGCCGCTCACCCGGTTGGTATGTTGCAGTATGCACCAGATGGAGGAATACCTACACTGACTGTTGCTTCTTCTGCCCTCAGGACCTCGCCAGAGTGGCTCGAACCTGATCCATTTCGTAAGACTTCCCTAGCTGGATATGTCGCGCCTCAATGGTGACTGACAGAGGTCAAGGAAACCCCCACTGGTACAATTGAAACTGTGGAGGGGTTTGAGCCCCGGTTCAAAGGCAAGGTCGTCTTCGGTGCGGACTGGCTCGAGATTGATCCAGACCAGAAGCATGCCCGGATCAACATGAAGGCCATTGCCACGTACGTAGCGCGTCTGATGCATCGGCCAACAGTCGAAGCTGACATAGGTCCAGCACGGATGAAGGCAAGGAAATTAGTTTCGGATATACGGGGACCATTGAGCTCAACGAGGCGGTGATGAAAATTTTCAACCAGGCGCCTGATTCGGAGAGCGTACCATTTGGCTTCAGCAGTGAGTTTTCCTTCTCCCATGTCATGAGTGGATGGATTCATACTAAGCAATCCCAAGCGGGAGCGCACTCTTTCTTCAGCGGTGACCCATCCTTGAGCGAGCTGGAGAACATGACTTTGGTGGGCAATGGACGAATGCTGGTGGATCCAGAGACGCGTGTAATCACCGTGGAGTCTCGCATCTCGAGGGTCATTCCTGCTACGGGCTTCGACTAGCTCTTGGGGGTGGGGGGGGGGGGGGCGTGGAGTTTGGAAAGGGCTTGAAGGCCACATATGACTGGCGCAAGGGCGATGTACTTGCTTTGTACACCCCCAACAGCATCGACACGCCTGTCGTTATGTGGGGAACGCACTGGGCTGGAGGCGTGATCTCCCCCGCCAACCCGGCCTATACCGTGGAGGAGCTGGCCTTCCAGCTGAAGAACTCCGGCGCGAGGGCGCTGGTGACGCAGATAGCCCATCTGCCCGCCGCGACGGCCGCCGCCAAGCAGGTGGGCATCCCCGAATCGCACATCATCCTGATCGGCGATGAGCGCGATCCCCAGGGCAAGATCAAGACTTCACCTCCGGTCGCAACATCTGGCGGGCCACCCGCTACCGCAAGATTAAAATCGACC